ATGCCAGTCTGATGAAGCTTGTTACGTAAAACACTCAGCAAGGGTTCAGTGTGACCCTTTCTTCCTGATATTTCACTTAGCTTGTATCTACTTCTTTCGCAGACCCAAGGTAGGGCACACGACGCCTTGTCCAGCAGCTCTCACAACAATCCAGCTGCACCAATAAGAGGTACATTGCACACAGTCCTTGCCTCCAGTACAACTCCTGGACCAACAAGGCCACCATAAGACTCTAACCTGGCCAAAATAAACAGATTTTGTTACTGTTTTGGTTACTTGATCACCTACAAACTTGCCCCAGGTACTCCTGCCAGCACAAGTGTTCCCCCCACAATAAAAGCCCCAGTGCTAGTTCAGAATTGCAAACGATCAGCCTGGGCGATCACCCTTGGGAAATGGTTTCCCCTCCTTTTTTTGATCACAGAAAAATACTACGGCCACTCTTGTGTGGCAAAAAGCCTCTGAAAGCCCACAGTGGGCTTCGGACACTGTGGAGCCCTGTTTGAAATCTTTGGGTTTATCATGTGAAGCATGTGTGCACCCCTCAGGGCGAAAACACAACACAGCAGCCCTGATAGGATCTCAAGGCACCCCAGGGTGCTGGGAATCCTGCTTGACCATGATCTCAAGCACCCCAGGGTGCTGGGGACCCCGCTTGGCCACCACCGGTTGAGAAGCACGGGTGCACACCTCCGCAGCCCGGCAACCCTGCCAAGATGTCAGCCCCCCCAGCTGCACGTCAAGAGCTTCTCCCTCGGGCCACAAGGCCTTTTCACTGGGGGAGGCGTTTAAGGAGAGAGGCGGGAGCATCCCCTACCGGGCGCCTCGTGCAGGACAGGCAGGCGGGGACCCAGTGCAGCCAGAGAAGACTGTGGGAGAGTGTCCTAAGCCGGAGTTCAGCGCCCCCTCCTGGGCGGGAGCAGAGCCGACCCCGGCGGGCTGCCCAGCTCTGCGGCAGCCTGCGGCACACGCCGCCTGTCCGCCGCCGCCCCCCTGTGCTTTGGGATCCCCTTTCCCACCCCCAGTCAAATCCTAAGCAGGCACTGTGAGGAGCCTGAGCCGGCAACCCAGGGGTCAAGCAGGAGGGGGCACAGGTCAGGGCTGGTGGAAAAGTGTGTGTGTGTGTGTGTGTGTGTGTTGAGGGGGAGTTATCCGATCATCCAATTTCTTATTTACTTGGGGTCTGTCACCACTCGCCCCTGGGAGGGAGGGAGGGGAGACCCGGGCAGGCGGCGGGGAGAAGGGAGCGCTCCTCGGTGTAAGTGTTTTACTGTCCCAGCGGGATGATATCCAGTGAATGGGGACAGTTGTGGAAGGAGGGGGGGAGCGGGAGGGGGGGGGGATTTCCATGTCTACTCCTGTCAGCCTGCAATGAAGGCAAGCAAAGAAAAAGAAAAAGCAAAAGCAAAAGCAAAGAAGACGGAGGAGGACAGATCCCTCCGCAGTCCTCCGCAGCCCCTTCCCGGGCTCCAAAGCAATGAGCTGTGGGGGGTTTCCTCTCCCCTCTCCCCCCACTTCTTTTAGCCAGCGATTGATTTCGTCGATTGCAAGCTGATCGGAGGGGATGGAAAGGCACAGGCCAGCCCCTGCGAGCGGACCCCAGCCCCTGCGAGCCAGCTCCCGCTTTCCTCGCCCCAGTCCCGGCAGGACCCGCCGCACTCAGGCACGAGCCAGATCAACCTGCAGCTCTTATTTCCTTCTCAACGAAAAAACCGAGCATTTGCAGGCTGACAAGAGGAAAACCTGCCGGATGGCAATCGCCCCCCCTCGATCTAACAAAACCCGAGAGCACTTCTTTGTAAGGGATTTTAGACGAGGGTTTTTTGTTGTTGTTGCCAATCCGATGGGTCTCTCGTTTGACTTGCTTTTCTCTTAATTGCGGAGGGAGAAAGGAAGTGGGCAGAGAGAAGAGAAACGTTGCTAGATGGATCGGTCTGTTTCAAGTGAAGTAAGAGCTCAGGTTAGCACAACAGAAATCATTTGCCTCAGAAAATAAAATAAGCCCCTCAAAACTTAAAACCCCCCAACCAAACGAAGCAAAAATCCCTGAATAGGACTAGGAAACAGCTCGCAAGCTGAGCACAAAATATTTCTGTTGTATTTTTCACCTCTGAAATAATGTTAAAAGCTTTCCAATTCAAAGAAGTAGCCTAAAATGTTTCCCTGAATACACTAGCCCCTCAAATAACACTGAAGCAAGGGTGAGCACAAGAGAGCTCATGCAAAAAAGAGTTAAAATAAAGATGATCCCCCCCTCCCACCCCGTGACGCTTGTTTTCTGGCTGCAGTTTGACATTTGCAAAAACTTTCCTACCACTTTTGCCTGACAAGGGCTGCAGCTCCCTTCCAATCACAGGCGACCCCCTCTCTCCCCACCCCTTCCATCCCCTCCAAGTCCCCAGCCAGTGTTTCCTTGGGACAAAGGGATTGGTCAGCAGGTGAAAGGGAGCTGGCCCTGCAAAAATCCCCACCCTCTCCCTGAAGAGGGTCTTTAAGATAAATAGAGCCACAAGTTCTGCACTTGGATGGGCAACAGGGGAGGGCATTTCAGTTCCAGGTGAAGGCAGATCTGAGCTGGGGAAGGGAGGCAAGCACCAACCAAAACTAAAGAACTGGTTTTGGGTTTTATATCTAAGTCTAGGAAAGTGTGTGTGTCTCTTTTCTGTCTCCCAGTTCATTGGAGATAGTTGGGGGTCTGTAAGAGCCTCCATTAAATAGCTGGGGAATAGATAAAATACACCAAGCTGGAGGCCTGATTTAAGCAGCTTGCTTTACACTGATCACTTGGGTTTCTGTGGTATCTATTCCTACTTCATTCCTGTTGCTCCTCACCCTTCATCCCTCGCTGCCCTCATGGACTTGTTAGGTCACATGGAGATACCAGACGGCTCTCTCTGCTCCTTCTCCGCTGCTGATGACTTTTACGATGACCCCTGCTTCAACACCTCGGACATGCACTTCTTCGAGGACTTGGACCCACGGCTGGTGCATGTGGGTGGCTTGCTGAAGCCCGAAGAGCACCCCCACCATCATACACACCACCATGAGGACGAGCATATCCGGGCACCCAGTGGGCACCACCAGGCTGGCCGCTGCCTGCTCTGGGCTTGCAAAGCCTGCAAGAGGAAGACAACCAACGCTGACCGCCGGAAGGCAGCCACCATGAGGGAGAGGAGGCGGCTCAGCAAGGTCAACGAGGCCTTTGAGACCCTGAAACGCTGTACCTCTACCAACCCCAACCAGCGCCTGCCCAAGGTGGAGATCCTGCGCAATGCCATTCGCTACATTGAGAGCCTGCAGGCACTGCTGCGGGAACAGGAAGACAGCTACTACCCAGTGCTGGAGCACTACAGTGGGGAGTCAGATGCCTCCAGCCCCCGCTCCAACTGCTCTGATGGCATGGTGAGTTCTGGGCACATTCCCAAGTCCCCTCCTGTATCCTACACCCCTTGATAGGGGAGCCTGCCCCGAACACTGGTTCCTGAGATTGTTAATGTGGTCCCCTTCTATGCCAAGTTCCTTGGAAAACGAGTAGGGAATCCCCCAGGGACCCCATTTTCTGGGATGGGAGATAAGGTTTCTTCTTAAATCCTGATCTTGGCAGAAGTTAGGACTTCTCTATACCCCAGGGTCCTGTGAAAGATTCTTCTATAGCCCAGGCCCTGGGCCTCAATTCCTATGAAGGTAACTTGTGTCCTGAGACCCCCGTGAGGACAGCAATGAGAGTGCCTGATCCCTGGAACTGCAGTGTCTGTTAGCCACTGAAGGATGAGAATTATGGATCCTCATTCTACTCTGCCTTCCAACTTTAAACCTGAACCCTGTAAGTGCAGCTTTGGAGGCAGAATAGCCAAGATCCACACTGTAATAAAGAAAAGTATGTGTGGTTGGTGAGAGGCAAGACATTGTTTGCTCACCTGATCTCAATGAGAGGAGCTCCTAGAAGAGGGATTCTTCACTCCTAGGACAATCCCAGGGTCAGAGAGCTGGTGTTTCCAAACTACTGCAAATGTAGCCCTGAAGAAATGTCCTTGGTTTTCACAATCTCAGATCTTTATAAGAAGAACTCCATAAAATGGAACTGGGGCTCCTGATCCTGCAGAATAGAAGCCATGAGGCAAGAAGTCTCTTCATCTGATTGCACAGCTAGTCTGCATCTTAATTATCACAGACTCCCAGCTTCTAAAGACAGGTGAAATAACACTGTCTGAGACAAGTATCATAAAAATGTCTCAAGATTGAGAAGGACCCTCTTTTCTGAAAGGGATAATCATTCCTGGGTCTGAGTACCTAGGACTATAAGAGAGTTGGTGAAGGTGAGGGACCCAATATATGTGTCCAGTCCTTCTTCAGATCATAGCATTTCATTTCCTTTTGTTGGCAGCACCCAGGTCCTTGTATGTGAAAGCCTCAACAGAGAAAACAAAGTGTATCAACTTGGATTTTTTCCAGTATGAAGCAGTATTGGAAAGAGTGAAGTAGAAGGGCTAATGACAGGAAGGGGGGGGGAAGGAATGGGGGTTCGCTTTAAAGGATTTCATGCCTAAGAGCAAAGTTTTAAAAGATGGTGAAAAACAGATTCCCATCTCCCTTTCCTCCCCCTCCTAATATCCCTTAATAAATCAAGGATCAAATGTTCTGTTCCAAAATTCAAACACCTGTTCACTGATTAAAATGCTGGAAAACCTTTTCAGGTATAAAGATACAACAAAATATATAACTGGGGCTATGATACAGACTAGAAATTAGAACATGAAATTAGATGCCTATTAGGGCTTTGTGAAAAATTCCACTTCACATCTGCTGCTTCACATTGATTCTTCTGGTTTCCAGATGGACTACAGTGGGCCCCCTTGCAGCTCTCGCAGGAGGAACAGCTATGATAGCAGCTACTACACAGAATCACCAAACGGTTAGTGTTTGCCTTAATGCCAAAGACAAGCATGTGCAATGGAGAATGTCAGTAGAGCAAATTTGCCTTTTTCTTCCACCCTCAGGTGCCAGCAGGCTTCAGAAGGGCTGACTGAGGAGGCACTTGTCCTCTTCTAGCCAGTGAAGCGGGGCCACTAATACAGACAATCCTGCGCTTTTTTTTTCTCATATTCCCCTCTGCTAATGGGCTTCAGATTTTAAACCATGCCTTGTAACAGAGATTGTACCAATCCAAAATCTTGGGTTCAAACTTTTAAACAGCTCTCAGCTGAATCGTGACCATCTCCCTGCTTTAGACGGAACCAAAACCATTGTTTCAGGTTCCATTAAATTCTGTTCTCACCCAGATCCAAACTTCTCTGCCTTGCAAACTCCCACTTTATCTCTGCTGTTTTCATAATTGACATCTGTCCTTACTGTTTGTTTATGTGCCTATCTAAGACTGGCTGCTTCCCCTTGGCATTAATTACTCATTGATCTGCTGTTCTCGTTATCCTTAGATCCAAAACATGGTAAGAGTTCAGTTGTCTCCAGCCTGGACTGTCTCTCAAGCATTGTGGAGAGGATTTCCACAGACAACTCCACCTGTGCTGTGCTGCCGCCAGTGGAAGGTGTGGCTGAAAGTGGCCCCTGCTCACCCCAGGAAGGAGCCAGCCTGAGTGAGAGCAGAACCCAAATCCCCTCACCCACCAACTGCACCCAGCTTCCCCAGGAGAACAGCAGCAACAGCAATCCTATCTACCAAGTGCTATAAAGGCAGGTTGAACCGAATCGTAGCGAAAACACAAACTGCTTCATTCTGCAGGCTCAAAGACCTGCCTTGAAGAGACTGAGTACTTTTTCTTCCAATTCTAAAATCTCTCTCAAAATTCCTTCAAATATATAATTTTTCAAACCTGTATTACTTCAAAGTACACTTAATTATTTATTGGTTGTTACACTAAAGCTATTTAATATGTCTAGAGATAAAATCATGTACCATGTGATAGTCAATGTTTAAACTGGGCTCTGGGGAATAGGGACATTGCTCTTGAGATTCTGTTATAATTTTGCAAAAAGAACTACATGAATATCAGGTGTAATGATGTGACACTGCCTAAGTGCTTCCTTCCCCTACATTCTGCCCAAAATAAGGTTGTGGACCATTTTTTATAATGCTTTCTTTTGTAAAATTGTAAATAAGAGTTGCTTTGCAGAAAAAATTCATAAAAAACACAAAAACAGAACAAAAAAAGAGTTTAACTATTTAATGTTGCTTGGTTTGTCGTGCCAAACTTAACTTTATATATTTATACGATGTGGTTGCCAAGAATGTTTTCAACAGTATTCTAAATAAAGACTTTTATTTATAAAATCTGTGGAGTTATCTTGACTTTCACTAGGGCTTCTAGAATTACGACTGCATTTAGGAGTGGTGCTGCTCTTAGTACTGCCTTGGCAGGAAGAAGATTAAGGCTCCAAATCAGCAAAGCAATTAAGCATACACTTCAATCCCACTGACTCCAGTTACTGGCATGAAAGACTTTGCCGAAATGGGGTCTGTTTCCTTGATATTCTATTGAAGTGTTTTCTAACCTCTGTGTTACTCATAGGGGATTGTTATTAAACACATTTACCTGATATGTCGAGACACATTTCCTGCTCCAAGGAGTTTACAAAGTAAAGACTCAATCACATAAAACACTGTATAAGAGGTACTAATTATTATGGAACCCCTCAAATCTTACTACTGTCAGTGGGCACATCTACATGTGCATTAATGAGCTTTAGTTAATGTGCATTAAATCTAGTGCTGCCATTGTGAGGTACTAGGAAAATGTGCATTAACCTGTCTTAATGAGCATTAACTAAAGAGCACAGTTTTTAGTGATGCTTAATGTCCATTAGCCTATTTTAATTCACCTTAAGTAAATAGCACATTTTACTGAACCTTTAATGTGTAATAAATAAGCTAATGAACATTAAAGCATAGGAGTCAAATCACCGAGAACATTGACAGAGGTGCACAGCATCATGCAGGACCATGAAGGATTGAGTATTAAATTAAGAGGTAAAAGTAGTTAGCTGTGTTAGCCTGAAGTCAGGCAAAAGGCAGAGCAGGATGGCATATTGGAGACTAACTGGTTCACAGCCTCTCCCAAACTAGGCTGTCACCTACAAAAGCTTGTGCCTTTCTGGACAAGCCAGTCTCTAAGGTGCCCCCCTGCTCTGCCTTCTCCCTATATTAGGGTAGATATAAAGACATTGGGTTCTAATTCTAAGATTAGAGTTGGGATTTGAACATTTCCCGGACAAAAGAAAGTAACTAGAGCAGAGTTTGTCATGAACTTTAGATCCAGGTCTATAGTTTAGGACTGTTCAGAATGCAACCTTCAAAGCTGGGGCAATCAGAGATATGCCAAAGATGTGAAGTTTGCATTTGAAACTGAACTTTCCCCTTCTTTGGATATACTACAATCCAGGGATCTGCTTCTGGTTTGGAACTTGCTCTAAAAATAACCAGTGAGTTACATCTCATTCAGCATATGTAGCCTTGCAAGCTTGCCATGAAACGTATAAAAGTCAAGCTCTTAATACTGATTTACTTCTAGATGTTAGCATTTGTGTACAAGTATAGGTTTGTGCACGAACAACTGACACCTGTTGCAGAGTGAAAGAAACCAGTCTGTTCATCTCACTGTGAGTTACACATTTTATTTACAGGTTCATTTTTTAAAGAAAATTAAGTCAGATACAAACTATGATATGATTAAGTAATTTCACAGTGGTTCAACCATTGCATTCCTTGAACCGTATTCCAAAATGGGCAGATTTCACTTCTTTTGCTGGAAGAAAGGAACCACGCATTTCCACTGACATGGTTGCTGTTTTTTTAAGACCATATCTAGCAGTAGCTCTCACGGGAGTGCATGGCCTTAGGCTGGATAGTTATACTCATTGCTCCTCTTCAACTCTCTGTAGCCTATTTAGGATCTCCACCAATCTAAACTGGAAATCCTAAAGGCATCAATCAGAAACCAAGGGTTCAGAAACTTTCTGAAAGTATGGCTGGGACCATCATTAGAGTTAAACCAGCACAGAGGCACACAACTACTGTGTGGGTTGTCCTCATCTCTCACCAATCCAAGGGGACTCATAAGTTTCAAAGCTGATCCCACAAAAAAACAGTCAGGGAGGAACTCTGATGGGGAATCCTACTGGAGGTGTCCTCCATCTCTACCTGGTTCTATTATGGGAAGGTAGATGTGATCCAGCATACAGAGCTTAATATGGTCCCTTTATCTACTCTACTTTTCCTTTAAAAGTAAAAATTAAATGGATTTGAGACTTCCTCATTTACATTGGTGTAAACTAGGAGCAATTTCATTAAAGGTAGTGAAATGACACATGTGTAAAATTGATCTTAAGCAGGAAGTGCACAGACTGAATATATCTATTGGGGGCCTGTAGCCAATGCCATTGCCTTTGATGGACATTGGAACAGGCTCATAATGAAGAGATATTCTTTGCATGATTATTAGAGTCTTTTATCTCCCCATGGATCTAGGCTGACAAAATTATCATAGATATAATTTTATGCTCATGTAAACTAAAACCACTGGAAGTTTTGCCTGCTCAAGAAATACAAGACTCTTTGTAAAAATTGTCATCATAAAGTTGGGACCAGATTCACCACTATATGGGCACACCTACATGTGTCCCTTCAGCAGTGCACAGTTATTTTTAGCCACTACATTGCTGTAGCTATGTGCTATACCAAAGGAGTGCATCATAGTGGCGCGGTGACATAGCTGTGGGGCTGTGGTTTTTGCCCACCAATGCTGCATCACCGTAGTGCTTTGCTACAGTGACGCAGTTTCTTGTGCAGATCTTCCCTATTGCTTCAGTTTTACATCCATGTCCACTGGAAACCAAGGAGTAAATCTGGTGGAAATCTGGAGTAAACTGTGGTGAATCAGGTCACTTATATTTGACGTGTATGTACATGCACTCCCTTGTGTAGTCATGTCTATTTCATTTCACTGATTTATTTTAGCAACCCAAGTTTCCACATACTGATGTGAACGTTACAACAGAGAGCAAGTATTTAACACATCCCAAAATAGACAGATGGATAAAAAAGAAAAAAATATTCATACATGTACTATGCAGGACCCATTTTTTTCCCACTGAGGTCAATGGGGAAAATCTATTGGGCTTGACAAAACAAGGCACCAGTGGCATTTGCATTTTTAGAGTAAATGTATTTGTTGTTTAATTTAGGAGGAATGATCTGCACTGAATGATTTCTTCCTCTCCATTTTGAAAGATAATACACTTGTCTAAATGTCTATGAGTCAAACACTCTGTGGCAGCATCTACACGAGACGTTTACTGTGGAGCTGCCTAATTAACTCCACAGAAAACATCAGCATCTCCACGTGTGGTCCTATTAGGCTGCAGAAAAACTAATTGACTATGCCACAGGTTAGTTTTGTAAACACAAGTACTATCCTGCGGCAGTGTTGTCCAGTACACCACAACATATGTGTAGATGCTGATGGGGCTGGCTGGGGCATGCGGGGATTTCAATGCAGGGGCTGCCTGCCAGCTAGCCCTGCACTGAAACACCCTTGTGCCCCAGCCAGCCCCTCTACAGCATTGTGAGTTGGGCTAGAGCAGCCCTAGACTGGCAGGCTGACCCCTGGGGCCCCTGCCAGTTGGGGCTGCTCAGACCTGTCTCAATATGCTGCAGTCCTAGGAACAATAAACTCCAGCATGAGTATGATATGCACCAGAGTTTATTGCTGAATACACACACACACACACACACACACACACACACACACACACACACACGAGTGTTAAGGAGAGAGGTATGTTGAAATATACTTTATTAGAAACTCCAGATTTGTATTTCAACTACCTCAAAGTTAAGGATCTTTAGATTTAGGCTTTTAGTTCAGCCAGTAAGGTGGGTTACAAGTGAAACTGAGAAGGAAAAAAGTTTGAGCCAATATTTACAACCTTGAGTACCTCATCTAGGTTCCTAGATTTATATTAGGTACCCCATCCTGGCTTACTTCAGCAAAATACAAAGCAGTTTTGCCAGAGATTCAGTGAAATGCTTCAGTGTATGCATAAGTTCAAACATGAGTAATTATTCTGAAGTCAATGAGATTAATCATATGTCTAACTTTAGGCATAAGAAAAATCGAACAAGCTGTCCTGGGGAAGTTGTAGAATTTCCTTCATTGCTTTTGTGGATGGGGTTCAACTAGATGCTCTATGACACTCCATGTGCTGAAGGATCTTGTGTAAAGCATAAAAATGGCCCAATTTTCAGCAGCACTGAGCGCACCAGTACTCCCTTTGACATCTGCAGAGATTCAGAGAATCCAGAACCTTTAAAAATCTGATTAACTCTGATTCAAGCTGATTCAAAAGGCTAATTTTACCAAAGTTTGAAAATTTTAACTGTAGTTTTTAGACATGAACAATATTCTTTGTGAAATACTCAGCAATTAGAAAACTCAACAAGTATAACTAAGGAGGGGGAGCAGGGGTAAGCATGTGTAAAAATAAATATGTGACATAGGCACATTTTATTTTCTTGAGTCAGGATTGACTGTGTTATCCATATGTGTTATTTTGAAGTCATATTGCAAATATATGTCAGTTTATTTTATTCAAAGTGTCATTATTTGTAAATAAAATACAACAAATGTATCGTTTGTTTATTATCATTTATTGTCATTTCATTTATTCATGTAATTTCTATTTTGAATGCTTTCAACATGGAAAATATCATAAGAAGTTGTTGATTTATTTCAACATTTTCATTCTATAAATATTTTCCCCCAAATTGAAGTTGTTATAGAATTGTTCTGAAAATTGCTTTTCTACAAAAGATCAAGGAGAAATTTAAATACCAGTTTTAATTTAAAAATTGAAAATATTAAAATACTCCCTCTCAAAAACATTTAAGAAATGTTAATTGCTTTATATTATTGAAGAATTTTTAAGTAAAATGTGTTCTCAGTCCTAATATAAGAAACAGTAAAGAAATTAGAAGTATCAAGAAAGCACCTGTTTAACAGTGGATCCATTTTAAAAAGTATTTGCAGTTTTAAATATATGTTTAACACTGTATATAACCAAATCTCTTCGTCCCTTAATTAGATAGATAGACAGACAGACAGACGGACAGACAGAGAGAGAGAGAGACTATGCCTATACTTAAGGAAAGGATATTTATGGGTGATATCTTTCTACATGAAAAATAAGAAGTGTATTATGTTGATCACTATATATTACACACTACTTATGGATCGTTTTAATTTTAAATGACA